AACCAAATAGAAATTACTTTGTTATTGTACATAAATTAAATTATAAAAAAATTGAATTAAAAATTACACAAAAAAATGAGTAATTTCAAATAGTTAATTTGATACTAATATCGATATATTTTTGTCAATATTTTATGATATCTTCAAACATATATTTTATTCAAAAATAAAAACATCATNCGTTATTGTATTTAAATTAAATTATAAAAAATGAATTAAAAAATTACACAAAAAATGAGGAATTTTAAATAGTTAATTTGATATGAATATTGATATATTTTTGTCAAATTTTAATGATATTTTCAAACTTATATTTTATTTAAAAATAAAAACATTATTGCTTTCTCAAAATCACATAAGACCATATTATAACGTCGACTGAGATAAAGAATAAAATGAAATATTAAAATCAAGATGTATCTCGCTGCATTGTGCGAGTACCCTTCTATTTAATTTAAGTTTAATAACGAAATAATTTATTTTTGGTTTAATAATATAACATTTTATGACGATAATAATTAAGTATTTTGTTAGAATTCAATGAATATCTTAATTTTATTTTAGATTTTTTATATATAAAATGAGATGTTTATCATGTATTTGATTATGTTTATATGCAGTTAATAACACGAATTCAGATATGGAGCTTTAATAAGTTTTACTTACACACAATCTACTTGCAATCTTGAGTTTTAAGTAATATGCATTATTAAACAGTACTTTACGTATAAAAAATGATTTTTAGGAGTTTTTATCAAATGTTTTATAATATACTATAGATATAGATAATCAAAAATGTTAGAATGGCTGAGTGGTCTAAGGCGCCAGACTCAAGTTTTGGTCTTCGTTAGAGGGCGTGGGTTCAAATCTCATTTCTGACATACTTCATGACTTTTCTTTATTTACATTACTTTTCTATTTAAGTTACACACACTTAACTTATTTTAATGTACATTTAGCCCCTTAACTTGTATTAAAAAGGAACCAATTTTAACTTGATTCTTATTTTAGGAAATCAACTTTCAAAATCACTATTCAAGAGTCTGGATCAAAGTTTTTATTTATTTAAGGGTCTGGTTAACCAATTGAGTAGGTAACCGGTAACTTAAAATGATGTGGCAAATCATAAATTAAAAGATTATTTCCTGGAAATTTATATTGCCAAATCATCCCACTCCAGACTCCATCTTACCATTCTCCCAAGTCCTTCCCTCCCACCCATCTTTTCTCCATGCCCCATCTTGTCGTTCTCTTTCCCTCCCGCTTCTCCGACGATGCCTGTCTGCTCCTATTGTTGAATTATGTACCAAAGGAATAGCATAGACTTTAAACAACCAAAATCGAATATGGCTTCCATGATTACATACATATCCATTGTGGATTGATGTGTTCAAGGTTTGATTATAAATTCGAAACAACAATCATTGAAGGGGTTCTACCCAAGCTTCGTTTAATTTCTTATTTTAGAGTAAAATTCTAATTTTCCCGTTAACCATTTTGCTAAATTGTATTGTGGAGAATATGAAAGAGGGCCGCCGGGAGCAGGGGGTTATTACCAGAGTTTCCGAAGCCACGGTGATGTAAGGGAAGAAAGATGTAGGGACTAGAGGGAGGAAGACGTTAGAGTAGAAGGAGATGAAGATGAACTCATAGATCAATCTGAAATAGAGCAGCGGTGCTATAGTGACAAAAGAGGGCCAAATACACTTTAACAAACCTCTGATTTCCTGAGCAAGGATATGAAGATTGTTAACTGAGGGAGTAGAGTTTGGTGAGATTTGATTTTGGTGATGAAGTAAGGATAGTTGCAGGTGGTGAACCGGCGGAAATGAGGAGGACGAGACTAAGGTCTAAGGATGGGATTAGGGTTTTTTCAAAAATTAAATGTTTTAATATTAATATAATTAGAACTTGTACAATATGATGGAGTTATTGCTTTTATAGTGCCATGTCATTTCTTTTATTTTTATTTTTATAATTTTAATAATGACATGGAATCTTAGTTGACAGATTACTTGGGTTATGTGATCACTAATAGGTTAATAGGTTAATCGGGTCTTTAAATAAACAAAAAGTTTGCTAAAGACCCTTAAATGGTAATTTTAAAACTTGGTTCCCTAAAATAGGAAACAAGTTAAAGTTGGTTCCATTTTGATGCAATTTTCCCTATTTTAATGTACATTTAGCCCCTTAACTTTTTTATTTTAGTTATACACACTTAGGGGCTGTTTGTTTGGCTCTTAATGGTGACATTAAGAGCCAACCTCTTAATCGCTAAAAGGCAAGGGTTGTTTGGCAACAAAAAAAGAACTTCTTAATGGTTACAAAAGGCTCTTAATCATTTAGGGGCTAGGGCTCCCCTCAACGATTCAGAGGGGTCTTCTTCCATTTTTGCCCTCCTTCCTCCTTCCAGTCGATCTCGTCTCCTCCCACTCTCCTTCCTCCTTCTAGTCGATCTCGCCTCCTCTCCCGAGTTGCTGTTGTGTCGCCTTCTTCCCAACCCCTCTCTTCACGCACGTCGCTTCTATTCCACAGTCGTCGTCCCCGTCTCCGATAGCCTCCGCCTCCATCGTCTCCGCCTCCACCAGCGAGTATTTAAGGTTGGGTCCTTGTCTGTGCTTTCCTCGACACCGCCGAATCTAACCATCATGCTTTGAAATCGTTCTTCCTCTCGTTCCTTGCTTCGTCGCACAAGAAATTCATTCCCTATCTCTGAGCTCTTTGTGAACCTCGAAACTGATATCTCTTATAAGAAATCGGCATATTTTAACGACCATAGTGATAACATGGCATTTGATTGTGTTCAGGCTGGTCACCGGAGTTAATCCATCGGATACAAAACTCCCATCGAAAGGTCCAGGAACAAGGGCAAGAATTTAGGGTTTAGATGATTCTCGATGATAATTTATTAGAGAGGGTTAAAATGGTAATTTATTATCATTCAGAGAACAGTTACCAAACAACATTATTTCATTCAGCACTTAACCATTCTGACACTCTCAACCATTCTGACCTCTTAACTATTCTGCACTAAATCATTCAGCAACTGCCAAACAGCCCCTTAACTTCTTGTAATGTACATTTTAGCCTCTTAACTTTTCTATTTTAGTTATACACACTTAACTTCTTGTAATGTACATTTTGGCCCCTTAACTTTTCTATTTAAGTTATACACACTTAACTTCTAATAATGTACATTTTGGCCCCTTAACTTTTCTATTTAAGNTTAACTTTTCTATTTAAGTTATACACACTTAACTTCTAATAATGTACATTTTGGCCCCTTAACTTTTCTATTTAAGTTATACACACTTAACTTCTTGTAATGTACATTTTGGCCCCTTAACTTTTCTATTTTAATTATACACACTTAACTTCTTGTAATGTACATTTTGCTCCTCAACTCTTGTTCAATCTCTATTTGCATCCCTTACGTGTTTGGAAAACTCAAAATAAAACAAATAAAGACCGAACTAAAACCAAATCTACGTTTCAATTTTTATCACTTTAGGGTCACAAGAAAATCACTTTTAAATAAACTAGATGGGTACTCGCACAATATAGCGAGATACATCTTGATTTTAATATTTTATTTTATTATTTATCTCATAGATGTTATAATATGCACTTATGTGATTTTGAAAAAGCAATGATGTTTTTATTTTTGAATAAAATATAAATTTTAAGATATCATAAAAATTTGATAAAAATATATTAATGTTATCATCAAATTAACTATTTAAAATTCTTTATTTTTGTGTAATTTTTTTATTCAATTTTTTTGTTATAATTTAATTTAATTGAATTTAGGTTTAACGAAGTAATTAATATTTGGTTTAATAATATAATTTTCTTATAAATATAATAATTAATTATTTTGTTAGAACTCGATAATTATCCTAATTATATTTTAGAATTTTTATATTTTTAAAATGAGATGTTTATCATTTATTTGATTATGTTTATTCGCAATTAGTTACACAAATTCAAATATGGAGCTTTAATAAGTTGTACTTATGCATAATTACTTGTAATCTTGAATTTTAAGTAATATGCATCAATATACAGTATTTCATGCATAAAAAATGGTTTTTAAGAGTTTTTGTCAAATGCTTTATAATATAGTATAGATATTGAATTTTATGATTACCTAGAATTACAATTATACCTATCAATACTATACTATAAAGTATTTGACAAAAACTATTAAAAACCATTTTTTATACATGAAGTACTGTTTATTGATGCATATTACTTAAAATTCAAGATTACAAGTAAATAATGCATGAGTACAACTTATTAAAACTTCATACTTGAATTTGTGTAACTAACTACAAATAAACAAAATCAAATACCGGATAAACATTTCATTTTAAATATAAAAAATCTAAAATATAATTAGGATAATCATTATCTTCTAACAGAATACTTAATTATTATATTTATAAAAATTATATTATTAAATCAAAAATAAATTGTTTTCTTATTAAACCTAAATTAAATTGTAATAAAAAAATTGAATTAAAGAAATTACACAACAAAACAAGATTTTTTAAATAGTTAATTTGATACTAATATCGATATTTTTTTTTAAATTTTAAGATATCTTCAAATTTATATTTTATTCAAAAATAAAAACATTATCGTTTTTCTCAAAACCACATAAACCGCATTATAACATCAACAGAGGGACAAAATAAAACGAAACATTAAAATCAAGATGTATTTCGCTGCATTGCACGAATACCCTTCTAGTATATAAAAAACAAGCCTATAAAGTATTTAAGAACAAAAAAACCTAAATTAAACCCCTCCCCTCATCCAAGCAACTTGGTAAATTACATATTTGACTTATTTAAGTATGGCATATCAAACAAAGATGCATCAGTTGCACCACAAAATCAATGATGCAGATAGTACAACACACTGTAGCAAGTTCAAGAACATGAAACGAAGCCGAACATCAAAATTGCCGGATGATATTATGAACGATACCAGTATTCTCAAAACTCAAGCATCGGGTACGAAATCTTTAGCCAACTAACAAAAGTACTCAACCATCAAATACAAAAGAACGAAACCAATTATATAAGAAAAACCCAAAACAAAGACGGACTTTTATTTTTTGTCTTTTCGTTCGTTTTTCCAAATCTTCTAAGCGGATCTCCGGCGAAACTAATACATATCAAAAGCCGGGGAGAGAGGGAGGGAGCCTAATAACGGAAGTGTGACCGGAAAACTGGTAAAAAAAAGACGATTAGCCTCGAATACTTCCTTAACAAGAGAAAGGTGTGATTTGATCACAATATAGAGCACCCCTTTTGACCCTTTCCCTTCTTTTTCTTTGAACTTGGAGGTTGCAGAACCACTTTTATGGCAGCATCAAATACTCCCTTCACATTCTGACAAACATAATATAACAATGATGTAACACTTAACAAATTGTTGATTCAAAGGCTCAGCATCTACAATGAGAGGTTCTTATAAGCAAAAAGTAGAGGTTCTTATGAGAACTACCATGGAAGAGAGTTCTTATAAGACACGCACATCCTTTGAGTTCTTGTACAAGAACCTTGGTTCTTACCTTGAACTTTGTGTCTAATGACATTTTTTAACAGTTTTTATATAATTATTGATGTTGAAAATAAAAATGGGACCCACAAAAGAAGAACTACCATTGTGGAGTTTTATGTAGGTTTTTGATTTTTGTGAGTTGGAAATGATGTGGCAATAAAAAGTACAAAAAGTGGAGATGTGCTCACAGACTACCATTAGCTAGATTCTTACAAAGTCATCCACATTTTTGGAGTTCGTGTACAAGAACCTTGGTTCTTACTTTGAATTTTTGTGTAAAATGACATTTTATTAGTTTATATATATATATATATAATACATATTATTGATGTTGAAATAATGCATGGGATCCACAAAAGGAGGTTATTACTAATCACTACCATTGTGGAGTTTTATGATAGTTCTTAGAGCATCTCCAATGGAGGTTCTTATAAGCAAAATGTGTAGTGACTTAAAAAGAACTACCATCAAAGAGACTTCTTATAAGTCACCAACACTTTTGGTTCTTGTAAAAAGAACCTTGGTTTCTACCTTGAACTTTGTGTGAAATGACATTTATTAGTTATATATACATATATATATAATATATATATATATATCCATATTTATTGATGTTGAAATAATACATGGACCCACAAAAAGCGGTTCTTACTAGTCACTATCATTTTGAAGTTTTATGATGGTTCTTAATTTATTGAGTGGCAATTATATGACCAAAAAAAGTGCAACAATGAAGTTCTTACAAGTCATTCCATTGGAGATGCTCTCATTAAGAAATTGTGTGTAATTGTAGTGATGCAATTGACCTAATTGGATGATGGAAGATTATAAGTACGCACCTCTTGTGTTTTTGCACTACACTCGATGTACGTGGGAGCTCCAATCGTCTTCCTTAGTTCTTCTCCCTATAATAAGTCAAAACAATACACATGTGACATTAAGAAAAAGCCATCTTTGTCTTTTTTAGCAATCTGAGCTACTCCCTAAAAAACGGCCACCCTGGTGCACCAATGCTACTTTCGATTGAAAGGGTTTGGTAGAAAACTTCTTAAAATACCTCAAAATATTGAGGCACAAGCCGAGTGATAGCAAAGGCTGACCCGGTCCTGACTCGTCATAACCAGATCTGGACCACTCCTCGTCACAACCAGGACTGGACGGGTCTTGGGTAGGACCAGGACTGGTTAGGACAATCCTGATCCTAACCGGGCTTTAGTTAAAAATGTAGGCATGATTCAAGACCGATGGACCTAATGGTCCCTAATCAGGGTAACCAGTCCCAGACTTTGATCCTTTTGTGCATCTTTAAATTCCTAGGTACTCCATCCCGTAAAAGTACATTTTGGGATGATCCAAACCAGGTCCCATTTTGGCATGGTTCCCTATTTGCCGTATTTAAGAGTATTTTGCATATTTACTAAATTATGCTAGATGACAACCAAAAAGTTACAGTTTTTACTAGACGAATAAGAGTATTAGTTTAGTAGCGATAATCTTTACCTGAGCAGTTGTAATGGGAACCGCACTAGGATGGTCAGCGAAGAACTGCTTATCATCCCGAAGATCTAAAATCCACCAAGATCCGAGTTCATCATTTCAAGAAATATTAACAAATACACATTGCAGTTTAACTTCAACAAATTATCAATCACAGAAACACCAACACCAGGATGAAAAGATGAAGCAGTTTGACTAGAATTCCTGACCATCAATTTGTATGGCTGAAAAAGATAATGATCATAAAGCAACTAACCCATTTTGGTCCCAACAAGAACGATCGGAACTCCAGGAGCGTAATGCTTCAATTCTGGAATCCACTGCCAACAGAAAGAATAGAAACCAAAAGAAACAGTCAGTAGATATTGTTGTAGTTATAAGAGCATCTCCAACAGTTTCTCCATAATTTCTCCAAAATAGAGAAGGGAAACTCAAAATCTTCAAAAACAATTACATTCAACTCCAACAGTTTTTCTCGTTACGAGATTATAGCATTAATTATATTATTAAAATACTCGATGCATTTAATACCCCCAACAAACTTTTTATAAAATGATAATTTTATGTTATATCTCCTTCAAAATAAGAAAAATATGATTAATGTATATTCTCTGATTCTCTCTTCTACAAAATTTTATTTTTCTCTCCCCTCCAAATATGGATATATTTTATTCTCTCTCATCTTTCTCCATTTTGGAGATTCTGTTGGAGCAAGAAAAACTCCAAAAATCTCCATTTTGGAGATTCTGTTAGAGATGCTCTAACGAATTTGAAGGAGAATACGAGAGCTTCACCTTCTTGGAGACGTTTTCATAGCTGGCTTTGCTGATGAGAGAGAACGCCAGAATGAAAACATCAGCCCCACGATAACTCAATGGTCTTAATCTGTTATAATCCTCCTGTCCTGTTCAACAGAATATCGATTTCACACTTAGAAAAAGTATAGCAAAGTTACCAACACGAAAGTGATTCAGGACATTTCAGAAGGTTACCAGCAGTATCCCACAAGCCTAGATTGACAGTGCTGCCATTGACAACGACATTGGCACTGAAATTATCAAATACAGTTGGCACATAATCCTGTTCAGAACACAATGAAAATAAATATAAAAATTTTGCCTCTGATATGAAGGCAGACTGTCTCAATAAACCGCGAATGTTTAACCCCAAAGATATATTTGCCAACCAGTCAAAAAATGACTGAGAACATGAAATAAACAAATCTCATAGGACTTGATTCAACGAAGAAAGCAAACAAAACACACCCAAGATGTTCCACTTGAAAGCAGGGTCTCGGGATAAGATGTACACAGACCTAACCTCTATCCAAAAGATTAGAGTGGTTGTTTCCGTGAAGACAACTCAATATTATGAAGGTTGTACCCAATAAAAGCCAACACAAAGATTTGTGGTCACCTTTGGTGGCATTTCACTCCCAAACAAAAAATGTTGATCAAGACTCTATAGACAAAGGTAAAAGTGAAAACAAATTATAGTAGAACTTCCGTTTTTGTATGATCAAGAAAGCACATTGACCATAAATTTTGGTCTTTAATTCCCTTGCAAAAATGGAAAACAAGAAGAATCCTCCTTGCAATTAACAACACCCCTGGATTGGAACCCCACTTTTGGTCTCGAAATGAACAATTGAAATTAGTATTGCCCCATAAAAGTGAAAGTAAGCCCGATTGAACAACTTAAAAAATTTGTCAACAGGCAGTTTACCGATTCATACTAAACTGTGAGCTTCGATCTATCCCCAAACTCTGACAAACAAGCAAAGAATTGATCACGTTTCAGATATGTCAACCCCCTTTATAAGCAATGCCATAAAGAATGTCATCATTATACCGATTCTTCCACAAAAGCTAAGGCAGATATCAGATATGAATTAAGAACCATTTCGATGATCAATGTTTTAAAATGGGAACAAAGAGGAAACTAATTGAAATGCTAATCAAAATGTGAGGCTTCTTCTCCACAATTGCATACGCAACATATAAGGATTAAGGACCACCATAAAGAATTTCATCATTACACCAAGAAATTAGACAGAAATAATAAAATGATTTGAAATTGGGGATGAACAGGAAACCAACTGAAATGTTAATTTCATCCCCTTAAAATTCAAAAGTGACCTGAAATTATTGAGGATTTAGAAGAATTAAGCACCGTGGGGAAGGAATTGCTGGTGTAGGATATCAAGAGACAGGTCTTTCCAACAGCCCCATCACCAACAGTGACACACTTTATGAACCTGGAAGCGCTCATATTTGTTTAAAATTAAGCCTCAGATCTTCTTGTATCCTCAGAAGACCTGATCACTAACGAACAAACCAACTCCCGTTTCTTCTTTTTCTTCCTCTAATCTTTCCCCTCTGACGAATTCACCATTGTTTGTTAAAGAAAATGGACGATTTTGGGGGTTTTTCAGAGAAAAATTGCAATAGGGGAAAATTGAATAATAGTAGGAGGAAAAAATCAAAGAGTGTGAGAAAGAAAACCCTCAAGAAAAGGGGAAGAACAAAGTAATTGGTGATGGATGGAGATGGAAATGGAGATAGAGAGAGAATGAACCCTAATTTAGCCGCGAAACAATGCCGTTGAATCGCTACCTGCGTGGTGGAGATCATCTCTCTCTCCCTCCATTGTAACTTCTTTCATTTCTTGATTTTATTTTTGAATTTTTATAATTAATTCATTAATTAATATAAATAAATATGGTAAATAAGATAATGTTGTTTGAATTTACGAAAATCTATACCATAGAGGTGAATTATTATGCAATCTTTTACATTTGTATAGTCAATACAATTCAATCTCAATCGTCCATTTAATTTGATAAATATGTGATTTCATAAAAGTTTTAATTGTTTCGTAATATAAAGTATTAATCATAATTAATGAACTCTAATAAATATTCAAATCATAATAAATGAACTCTCAGCATTTTCATAAATATCTCAATTGATTGAGTTGTGTTGGTTGTACAAATGTGATGAGTTGCATTTGAAACGTCTTATATATATATTATATATGTATATATACACACACACACACACAAATAGAAGAAGAAGAAGAAGAATGTTTAAATGAGAACATGAACTAAATAAGAGGATACGAAAAAAGATAAATCACATGTGGTTTTGCACTAACGGTCTATGTAAAAGTGTGCGGCCGACATGGCTCACGACCTCAAGTTGCGACCAAAGTCACGTGAATCACATGTGATTTTACACGTTTCAAATGTTGGGTTGGGGGGAGGCTTTCATGTGGGTTTGGTCTGGTATGAGAAGTTATAGGAAAGAGTATTACAACATCTCTAATTCGTGAATTTCTAGTGATCAAATAGAGTAGTCCGCCTTACTTTCTTTGAATAGGCCTAATCTTTTATCATGAAAGAGACCCGGTTGTTTCAGTCGTGGCTTAGTGGCTAGGAAGTGAAGTTTCCCTACATGTGGCTCGGCTGTGCTTTTCTATTCCGCTTTGCCGCTCCTTGGTGGAAGAGTAGAAGCGTTGGTCCCCTTCAGTCGCACTTCTTATTTTCTTATTTAGTTACTGTTCTCGTATAAACCTGACACACACACTCTCTCTCTCTCTCTCTATATATATATATATATAAATCATTTGCAGATCGTACAAACTCATCTAGACCATCCATTTCTTGATCAATGGTTGATATGAAGTGGAGGGAATTTTGAACTTCAAAGGATGAAAAGTCAAGGAAATGGTGGTTTTTGAAGACATTTTAAATATTTTGAATTTTAATCAATAGTTAGATAATTATTTGTTTTCGGTTATATTCCATGATTATATCCCTCATCTAAAATATCACCCCCGCTATTAAATTAAACGGAATCTACTCCATCTTTTCATTGGATGTAGAAGTCTCTCAGTATTAAGAGAAATCTGTAAACGTGAAACTATCAAGTAATTATATTTAGGTTGTGTTTCTTATATTTTCTACACATTAAAGCCCTGTTTGTTTTTCTTAAAAAATCACTTAATTGCCTCTTAAGTCTGACCGATTCAGACCTAGAGGAATTAAGTGCGTTTGTTTTTTTTTTTTTTTTGAATTAAGTGCTTAATTCATCTGATTAGGTCTGATTTATTTAGAGGTAAAACATAGTCTGAATTCCTCTTAACGCCTCCATCTCCCTACGCAGTACGCTCCGGCCCTCTCATCTCTCTCTCGCCTTCGCCTACGCAGTACGCTCCGGCCCTCTCCATCTCTCTCTCGCCTTCGCCTACGCAGTACGCTTCGGCCCTCTCCATCTCTCTCTCGCCTTCGCCTACGCAGTACACGCTCCCTCTCCATCTCTCTCTCGCCTTCGCCCCTCTCCATCTCGATACTCGCCTGCRTAACAGGATTGCTCTCGATTGCTCTCCATCGCTGCGCCTACCGTCTAACAGGGCCATCTCTCGATTTAAGGTATTTTGATTCGATCTCTCAAGCTCTCGATTTTGTTTGTCCTTGCTTGGTTGATTTCTATTTTCCTCTATTGTGAAGGTAATCGCATCACCCACATCAATTAGGGCTAACCTAATCTAAAACAGGCAGACATTGTTAACCCTTCTGTTAAAATTATAGTGGTTTTGAATGATACCACTTATGCAAGTCTTCAAGACTATATAGTGTATTTGGTATTATTATTAGGTTYGGATTTACCTATATAGCAACTGTAAGCCGAAAGCATCAGGGAGTCCATTCATAGGATTGATGACATTAAACKTTTAGCTGTTGGAATCAAGTACTAGGAAGGAAGATTCTTAACCCATCAGATTACTAGTTGTTTGTTTATTCTTTTTGGTATGATTTCAAATTATTATTATTTAAGAGGAACCAACTTATTCTCCTTTGATGCAAAACTATACTACAGGAAGATTCTTAACCCATCAGATTACTAGCTGCAGCTAATTTACACATTACACAACCTTCAAGAACATCAATCACATATGCTCTGTGCATATTATTGAAAAAGCATGTGATATTATGGAAAATATTATTTACTTCATCATCATCTAGAGCATCGAAGCTCATTCTAAATCTGTCTTGGATATTTTTATCGGGGATTACCAGTAATTTCTCAAGTGCACTTTGTTATTGTGCCAAGTTTCTCCCAATCAGAGGAGAATCTAAAACCTCAAGAGCTAATGGACCCCCTCAACATTCTCACATTGTGCAATACCTAATTTATAACTCAAATTTGAGCCTGTGACGCATGTATAATGAAATACATGAAAATGCCCCTTTTTAGTGCATCATAATGAAGCTTATGGGTGATCTAGGCAAGTTGAATTACCATTTTTTATTTTATTTAAGAGGATCACCTGAACTTCATCTTTTCAAGATTTTGGTATAGAGATAAATCTCAAGGTTATATTAATGATTTGCAACATCAAATGACAACTTATGGATGTCATGATGATTATAGGTCACAATCAACTTGGTCGAAGAAAAGATGGCTATCTTCTTGATGATTATAGGTCACAATCAACGTTATAGAGTGTTGAAAAACAGGTTCCAGCACTCAACACAAACAATTCATAAAATTTTTCATGAAGTGTTGGATAAAATGATGGAGCTTGCAAAAGAGATCATAGTTCCTACATCATTCAATCCTAATCCAGAAGAGATCATAGTTTGCATGTTTTGCGGTTCACAACTTCATACGGAAGGAAGGTTTAAGTGATGAGCTATTTTCTGAGTATGATCAAACCAACGAACAACAGAACGATGACGAAGATGAGGCTGAAGAGATTCAATCGCATGGGAGTGCCGCTGACCAAACATATATGGCTAGTTTAAGAGAAGAAACTGCGACACAATTACAAAATGAATATTGATTCTAGTTGTTATGAGACTTTTATTTGTGTGTTCTATTATGTTTTGAATCAATTGACGTATTTCAATTGACTTTTTGAATGTATTAAAAGTATATGGTAGTTTACAAATGGTTTAAATGATTGGATATTTCAGTTAAATTTAATTGAAATGAATTGATTCAGATTTCAGACTTCAGCACCACACCTGTCAGTTTACAAAAACAAACAGTCTTATTGATTCAGATTTCAGATTCAGATTTCAGATGGAAAAACAAACAGTCTGACTGATTCAGATTTCAGATTTCAGACGTAAAAACAAACAGTCTGACTGATTCAGATTTCAGATTTCAGACGTAAAAACAAACAGTCTGACTGATTCAGATTTCAGACTTCAGCACCACCTCTTAAAATTCAGAAGTGACTTCAGACTTCAGACTTAAGACTTCAGCACCTCTTAAAAAACAAACGCCACCTTAATGATTATTACATTAAAGTGTTTTTAGTTCACATAAAATTTAAAATTTTCAAAAAAGGGTATTTTGGTCTTTTACCAACATTTCATTTTAATTACAAAACTATATTATGTGAACCAAACAGACAAATTCGATTCATTTAGCAAATTGCATTCCAATGTATGCAAACCGAACATGTGATCAAATCTGACAACATTCAATTTCAATTACTTCAAAATCAAATTCATATGACATGTTCCATTCTATCCTAAGATATTATGCAATCAAATGTCACCTTAGGTGTTGTTTAGTTCATGAAATCCATGAGATTGTAAGGGAATTGGAATGATAAATTCGTTTGACCAAATTCAAATTCATTTATTTGGTTTATTTATTGGAATGAATGGAATTGTTAAATTCCTTTGAATTACACGCTTGAGGGATTTGATCATTACTTTACACAAGTCAAGTCAAAGAATTAAATGCCAATTCCTTGGGATATATCAAAAAGGTATAATCTAAATTAAATTTGACGATAACGTGTTACAAAAGACAAGAAATGTAGCATTCCAAGCTAACCGTATTATATATTGCTCGCTTTGTCCACTCATGGACTTACAGTTTTAAAACGTCTTTGATAGATGAGATATCTAGTCCCTCGTAAGGCAACAACCAATATGGGATATTACAATCCACCCCTTCGGGAGCCCAACATCCTCACTGGCACACCAATTTGGTTCCGCCTCCCCGACTCTGATACAAATGTAACATCCCGGTATAATCTATCAAATATTATTCGCTTTGTTCAAACCTGAACTCACAGTTTTAAAGCATGTATGATAGAGGAGGTATTAAGTCCCTTATAATGCAATTTTTGTTTCCCCGCAATGGATATGTGATATTACAATAAACTAACCAAAATAAGAAATTTGTGATGAAAAATTTAAAAGGAAAACCAAAGAACTAACAAATAATCAATAGTATATAATATATACTATAAAAATGTGCACTACGATACAGTTTGAACTATAGTTTGATAATTTAAGACCATAACCTACATCACAAAGTACGGTTTGATATAAATGCAAACTCTATTGCAGAAGTTTTAAACCGTATGTTGCGATATAGACAATTTGACGATTTAAACGAATATCTCTAATTATATATATATATATATATATATATATATTGGTTCCTGATATAAATGAAAAAAAAAGATGATTATAATTTTAAAAAGTGATTGATATTGTGTTGATGTGAGAATTATCTATACTACCTTATAAACCGGACTTATCAAAAGTCTTAAAAACAAATTTTAATGCACAAAGTATTATAAATTTACGCACAAAGTTTTAAAAGTCTTGAACATAACTCATAATGCATTAAGTACTACTACTTTATGTATTCAGTCTTAAAATCTCTTAATCTACAATTAAAATAACATATAATACAAGTTACCAATGCACATTATTACCTTTTAATTTCATGTTCTCAAGATACTTTTGACATATTTCACTCATGCTTTCACCCTCTCATTCTTTTATGTCTTCTCCCCATCCCCCAATATGAGATTCAAACTGATATTCACCATGAGTTATTAAAAGTTCTCTCATTCATTTCTCATTCAATTGCTCTAGAATTCTCAGTCTCGATCTCTTGATTATTTCCTCTTGGTGTAAGTCGAATATATTTGTGGAGTTGTTTAAAAATGTTGGATTTTAAATATATTGGACTTTAAACTATCATATAATTTTTTTCCAATCCGTAGACTGTAATTGGAATCGTAACTCTTATTTATTCAAATTGTATTAATATGTAAATACCAAGTATTATTTATATTATCGTTAAATCTTTTCTAATAAAACCAGTGAAACTTCAACATCGTTAAAATTCACGGCTTTCGCCGCGTTACGCGGGTCCACAACTAGTTGTTAAAAAAATGGAAGTGGAAGGTGTGGTAAATCACTAAATTGCCCTTGAGTAAGCTTCTCAGCCACGCCTAACAACTCCCGCGTCCATTTGGCGACGACCTCCGGAACACAACAAATGGGGCATTTCTCAGGGTTCCTTTTGCAGTCATTAGGGTTTTATCAAAATCTATTTCAATTTGAAAACAAAATATTTCCGACCAATTTTGCCTTTCGATTCTTTGGTGGAATCGAGAAGTAGTTACTCTCTGTTCTTTTGATTCTAGCAATGGGGAAGAGGGCAGCCATTGTTCTATCATCATCAGATGATGATGGTGACTGTAATGATATTGATTTTTCAGTAAAATCTAATTCGACTCATTTCAAGAATCCGAAATCGAAAGCGGCTTCTGTTCCTCGAACTAACCCTAAGAGATCAAAGAAAAGTCGGATTTCGAGTTCGAGTTCGAGTTCGCGTTCTCGCCCGGGCAAAAATGTCAATCCTTTTGACGAGGTGATGATTTTGAGTTTTGTTCATGTTTGGTGTGCAATGGTTATGTGCGTGTGTATATTTTGTTCAAGCTAGATTTAATGAGTAATAATTGATGCGTGCAACTGTGCAAGCGATTTCGTTTATGCTGCATCATTTAGTCTAGAAGTAGAACATAGCTTTGACTAGGTGTACTTTCTGTTGCTGGATTGTGAGTTACGTTGTATTATAGACGTACACTTTAAAGGTTGGATGGAAATTGTTCTTTTTATGCAAGCATGTTTGTAAACAATTTGGCAACTTGTGGGTTTTGTTTGCGACCCAATCAACGAAAGCTAAAAATTAGTTAAGGAGTGTCAACATGACAAAATTTTGTTGAACATATTTCTTTTCTTTTTGCACTTAGGTAGCATGCTAAATCTAAAATTGATTGTTGCAGATGAAACTGTTCTGTGAGAATTTCGGTGAAGGTTTTACTGGGTTCAAGGTATCTGCTGGTATGCTATGACCATGTTTGTACTTATTAATGGGAAATGTAATGTTTATTGCCTAGATGTACACCGAGTCTTTTCTTGCTTAAACATTAAAAATTTGGGTGATCCAGTGATGTGTGGTTTTGAACTTATACATTCCAATTCATCAGAATGTTTTAGTTCATAGAGTCTCAAGTGAGGAAATAAGCAAGCAGCATGATGTATACTTTGATACCCGCTTTACAAGAAAGTCCTTTTGGACGTGGAACTAATTAACTGCATGGATGTGCAGTAGTTTTCATTTAGCAAGGTGAAACTATAGTAATTTGATGAAAATACATAAAATGATACGCAACCATGTTAAACACTAAGAGAGGTGGTGTGCAGTACACATTCTTTCTCATGTTTGTTCATTCTTCTCCCCAAATGACAAGCAAAACACATGATGTGTGTTAAATTGGTCGAGCTTTATGAGAAGCTGAATTTTAGCTTGTAAATTTAAGCATTAAATCCTACAACATCAACATGGTGAGCACCAACTGTGCAAAAGCGTGAACAAATGCAGATAGTGCCAAGTCTTTTTGTTATGTATGGAGAATGTGGAAGATGTTTTGACAGTTTTGAGGACGCTACATTTTGATATGTGGAGTGTATAGTAATTAATCTTGGTTAATATATATTCATTAAACGTGTTGATCCAGTGGGAAGTCAAATAAGGAATCGTGAGACCTGCATTAGCATATGTTGTGTAGAAATGTGCTTTCTACTGTAATTTCTCTATCTCGCTGTCTTGATTATAATTGACAACCTTATTTCTTCTGGCTCATTGTTTGTATATTTTGGCCTAGGAGCTGACTTGATGATTTACTGTGATTTAGGCTATAGAAGAGACAACAAAGAATTATGGTTAGACAAATATAGGCCTTGCTCTTTGGTGGAACTCTCTGTTCATAAAAAGAAGGTAGTTAATTTGATATAAATTTTGCATTAAGAATGTTTATGATTATTGTTATTCCCTATCCCTGATTTCTCAGGTTGAGGAGGTTAAAGTTTGGTTTGAAGAAAGAATCAATGTCAGAAAGGTACCCTATTGTTATGGTCTTGAAGCTATTTACCTTTGTTTTCTAATCCATTCATTTCTAGATCTTCTGATAAATTATAAAATTAGAAACAGATAAACATTGATAACCTATTTAGGCCAACTTTATGGTTGTCTTCTTTGATTTATTGTTCTATTCTTTGATGATGCATGCTTTTATGCCTTTGTTAGGATCACCTATTTAGCAAAATAGTTTTGAAATCTGACAGCATGAAAGTTATGTTTTTCTGGCAACACTCACTACACAGTACACACACACTCTCTTGCCCTCGCTTTTTGTGTGTGTGTGTGTGTGTGCGCTGTGGTGGTGGTGGGGGGATTTATAGTGCCTCTCTTTAGTGCTGCAACCGTCTAACCGATGATTGAGGGCTGATGACTTCTGATAGTAGTTAGATAATCACTTTGGTCCCGGTATGTCAAAAATTACAGATTACGTTCTTGTGATTCGTTTATTACATTGACAATCATCGTGGTCTGCAAATCTTTACGGATTTGGTTCCTCATGCCGAAGGCCATTAGTGGATGCCGGTTAACTCCCCCGGCAAGGAGTACGTGAGGGCGTTTTGATCTTTTTATCTTTCCCCTGTTTTTTTATTATTAAATTAATTTCACGTACACATGCCTGAAGCATGTGTACAACCCATTAATGCACCCCATCTCCTCCCTCTCCCTCTTCTTGATCCCCAAGATACCATTGGTGCCCTCTTCCCCTGCACAACCCTTTCCTCTCTCATCGAGCTACATGAATCAGATGCAACCCTTTCCTTTCTTCAATAAGAATCAGATGCAGCCTCTTCCTTAGTTTTGATGCAATCCATCATCTAAGTTCAAGTTAAACACTGTCATCCAGTTGGATTGATCCAAATTTGTATGATCCAAACCCACAACATGAAAATCAAAATATTAAGTTTTTTGTCGACATACCGAGATAGACTGAGTAAAGAAAAGAACGTCAGCTAGTTTAATACTCTTGATAGCAAGAACTGATTTCCACCGACTCTGATGACTCCAGGACTTGGACTAATTCTAGTAAATGTGAAAACGATGCAGTCAAGAACTAAAGCGATGCAAGTTAGGCAACAAACAGATAGAAGATCAATTACAGGTTAGTGCACCTATGTTTGAGGCAATCTTGTCACTTGGAGGAGCAAGAAACAAGTTGTTTCTCACACCAGGGCTTAATCCAAGCATAAAGCATCTATGTGAAGGAACTAAGAGTAGGTTCAACCTTCTGTGAAGATATTTACAGTCAACATAGCTAAGAATTCTGTTCACCATGACTGTACCGGAATCGATCGTCATCGTTTCATTTCAGAGAAGGTCAACATCGAGATCGTTGAACTCAGTTATGTTCCTTCGAAACTGCAGATTGCAAATATTCTCACCAAAGCTCTTCCTAAAAACACATTTGATGATGTGAGTTCCAGGCTTGGCTTGTATAACATATACAACCAAGCTTATAGGAAGTATGGAAGTATGTAAGTTTCCTTGTATATATAGGAGTTTCATTTATTTATTACCGATTTGTATAAAGATAGGAAGGTTAGCTGGTAGTTTTCTGTTTTATGGGATTTAGTTGCTTACTTATGGGGGGCTAGCATATTGTACCCTCTTTTTAAAAAATTGGGCTGTAAGCTTCGTCAATCTCACGAAGAAAGTTCTGAATTTCTTCAGTAAATTAATGTGTTATCTGCTAGGTGGAACCTTAACATTGCCAAAATTTCTTTGCAGGATGAATATTGTAATCACGTTCTTCTCATTACTGGACAGCCAGGAGTTGGAAAATCTGTATGTAATACTAGCTTCTTCTACATTTTCATGCTTTTTAACTTGAATATCCTTTGTTTGTGTCTCCAAAGTAAAGAGAGAAGTTTTTGTAACTTGTCATTCATAAATTTCTGACCTGAATAACGGGCAAATCAGTGACAACCACCAAAAGTTGTCACCAAGTTCACTGTTTAACTTTTTACCAAAAACATGCTAGTTAATACACATTCTCTCTTCTAATAATTTAGATCGTCTCTCGAAGATGGAAAAAATGGTGGGTTTAGCATCATTGATGGTCGCTGTAGACTTATTCCTGAATCAGTTGGCTGCTTCCTGTTGCTTGAAAATTGAAATGACCATTATCATTCATCATCCTGTAGGCAACAGTTCATGCAATTGCCTCCCATCTTGGAGCAACAATATATGAATGGAACACACCTACTCCCACTATATGGCAAGAACATGTCCATACCACCAATGCAGGTATTTCCACACTCCATTCTGGCCTTCTGCTGACTAAATAGAAAAGGCATGCTATCAGAAATTAGTATGTTAAAATGCTATCCATGACAGTCCCCTTCCAAAAAGTCCATACCTTAAGAAAAGGAGAAAGTAACAGAACGTAACTGGCCTGTTTTTCTGTTTATAATGACTCTTGTTCTTACTTTTTTATCGGAGTGTGACCTTAACATTTTATGTTTATTTCCTAGGCTTGCGCTACTTGTCAAAGTTGGATGAGTTTGAGAATTTTGTTGAGAGGATAAGGAAATATGGATTGATTTCCTCATCTTTGACGGGGGAAGTGCAAAAACCATTTATCATCTTAATTGATGATCTTCCAGTAATAAATGGAAAATTGTCTTATGGTAGACTACAGCGCTGTTTGCATCTTCTTGTGCAATCTGTTCGTATTCCAACTGTCATATTGATCACAGACTATGGTAGAGCAGACACCGCTGATTACGCATCACGATGCTGGGAAGAACTTCAGACGTCTCTTCAAAGAGCTGGGGCTTGTAAGGTTACATTTAACTAGACATAAGTTGGGAAATTCTGTCCATTCTCTCTTACTACTTGGTCTTTTTATACAATCTGTATACTGCAGGTGGCTTTCAATCCAATCACAGGGAACTCTATTGTGAAGACGCTTTCCAAAATTTGCAGAGAAGAAAAGCTTAAAATAACAGCTGACCAGATTGATGTAATAGCTAAAGCCAGTGGAGGTGATATCAGACATGCAATCACATCTTTGCAGTATTTCAATCTGAAATCAGATTTGAAGTCTACTTCCAAGGACACTACTTACTCAGGAAAGGGATTCCACAAAACTGATCATTTGGATGATGGGTATTCTTTACCGTTTGGCAGGGATGAAACTCTCTCCTTGTTCCATGCCCTGGGAAAATTTCTTCACAACAAAAGAGATTCAGAGCATTTGACTGCATCTGGTATGTTCTGACAGAACCTGCTTTATGAGATGTAATTATTAAATATAGATGCAATTTCGTTTATATTTTTAGATATTTTCTTTTCCTGATAATCTGATCACACCCTTCTTCGTGCAATTAAATTCAGATTTTATTTTCATGTTATCTTTCTCATGGGAGTTCCATGTGATTCAGTTGTAAAGGTTGACTGAAATAATTTCCTTAGCTTGGAGTGGCATTTAACCAAATTATTCGTTGCGTTCCGGTACGGTCGGTTAAACTCTTTTCCTCCATTGTTTTAGATATGGATTCTGTCTTTTTAAAGGAGGACTTTACAAGATTACCCATGAAAATGGATGCACCAGAAAGGGTACTTGGTCAAGCACATGGGCAAGCAAGGCCTATTGCTGATTTCTTACAGGAAAATGGTATGCTTCTTAGATTATCATAGCTTGACATCTAGAATTTTTATTATTATTTGCTACTCGTTGTTTTTCACCATCAATGTTATGACCAATCTTGCACTTCTAGAGCTCCATCTAGAGCCTCTATGTTTCATGATGGTGGGATTATTCATTTTTGTATGTTGATTTTCTTTCAGTTCTAGATTTTCTGCATGAGGAAGCTATGGATGATGCATGGATTGTGGCTTCTTATCTCAGTGATGCTGACACACTTCTTACATCACTTACCGGAGTGCTATCTAGAAATTATGAGGCTGAGAACATTATTCAATCAACTGCTGCATCGGTTGCAGTACGTGGGGTGATGTTTGGCAATCGTCACCCTCTATCTTCAAGGTACCACAACTTTTGTTGTTATGATTAGAGAAAATCATTCATATATGTATAGGGTTGGGTTCTGGTGAGAATGAGAGTTATGGTGAGAAGGGTAAGAAGGGATCTTCACCCTTGGATCAATCCTAATTGAAGAGAACGACTAGATCAACACTAATGAGATACACTAGATCAATTCTCTTCTAAACCGCAGTTCATGGGTTGTTTAGGGATTAAAAGTGATCAAGGGTCCAAATCCCTTACCTTCTCACCTTAACTCCTATTCTCACACAATCCTTCGTCTATATATATATATATATGGGAGGTTCAACCGTTCAAGTAAGGAGGCTAAATATCGTGAGAACATAAGAAGGGAAAGTTAATGAAAGGTTCATATGTGAATCATTGAAAAAATCCATTTGAAGATGCATATGTGAACCCATATGAATAATTTGTAAAGACGGTTCACATACGTATCTTCAAATAGATTTTTGGACTTTTTCATCAACTCCCATATGAACCTTCCCTTCTTAACTTCTCACGATATTTAGCCTTCTTATTTGAACCGGCCCATACATATGTATGCATTCGTATGGATTATGAGGATTGATGGTTGTTTGTTCAATCGTTATGCAAACTCAGGTGGCATGCCATTCGTCGTCCACTGCTGTGGCAGATTGAGCAATCACTATGGCGCAACAAGGTTTGGTGTTTTTCCACTTATTTATTCTTAATACTCCATCTAGTTTCAGGAAAATTTGAATGTATAACATTGACATGTAGTTTAAGCACAAGTTTTGACCATTTGTCAAATATCTAAAGTACCCTCTAATAATGACCAAATATTAATCTTGTGGACTTGATCCGCAAATAGGTAATTTCAACTTGAAACTTAATTTCAGAAGAATGATATGCTTCAACTTTCATTAGATGAAGTGCATTTGTTTCATTCTCTTAGAGCATCTCCAACAGAATCTCCAAAATGATAAAATAACGTTTTTGGAGTTCTTGTTGCTCTCACAGATTATCTTAAACATTCTCCAAAATGGAGGAAAGACGAAAAAAAGAAAAATTTCTCCATATTTGGAGAGACTTAATTATTAATTATTTTCTAACTTATTTTGGAGGAGAGAGAACATAAAGTTACCATCTTATAAAAATAATTTGTTGGGTATTGAATATTTTAATAATATAATTTGCTAGAATTTTGAAATTTGTAGATTTTGGGGATTTTTTTTGCTTCAACTTATTTTCCAAAAGTAGGAGAGAAGATAAATTCTCTAAATTTGAAAAAACTTCCAAAAAGTGATTGCTTAGGAGTGTGTGAGAAATGATATTTTATTATTCGCACCAATAAGATTATTCGAAATCAAATGTTTCGGAGAGAAAAATAATATTTCATTGAATGTATTGGATATTTTGATGATACAATTAAGATTGTAATATCCAAAATGTAGAATCTATTGGAGTTGAATGTAATTTTCTTTTTATAGATTCTGGTTTTTTGATTCCATTTTGGAGAAATTATGGAGAATATGTTCGAGATGCTCTAATTTTGTTGTTGTTGTTACTCTAAGCAGTTGACGCAGTCATTTTATGAAATCGTTATCATGACGATGTTAATATAGCGGTTTTAATGCTAGTAAAGCGGCAGTATAATGGTAAATAAAGAAGTAAAGAACTTAATATATTGTATATGTAAATATGTATAATACATATAAACAAATCAAGTCTCACACAATAAACATAGTAATAAAGTTTGTCAAGTTTGAGCTAATTGCACTAGCACAGTAAATAGCGCCTCTAATCATGGGATCGCTATTATAGACCGCTATTTGCTAGACCACCTCTAAACCACCACGATTGACTGCCCTTTTTGATATTTTGAGTTTTGCGTAATTGTTTTGGAGAAATTATGGAGAAACTGGTGTAAGATGCATGTTTACCATACTGGGGTTGTAGTTTGTATAAAATTTAATGCCTGTGGCATATGGTAAATGGTGTCTTGATGCAGAAGGAGATGGTTGGGGAAAGATCTGTTGCTGCTTATAATTGTGTTAATTTATCTGAACTTTCGACCATTGCAACCGAGTGGAGACCTGCTCTTAAGTGGCTGGGCTCAAGAGCTTCTGAACACAACAGCCCAGACGAAAGCTCGATTGGTGGCGAAATGGTTGATAACGACTGGAATTTTGATGATGAAGACGATGAAATAGAAGATTGGTAGATTTCATAAGGGAATTGAAGCTAGCTTGGTTTAGTTTCTGTAAATGGTGTAAATTAGCGTCAGGCGATGATGATCGGATTTTTGGAACTCGATCTGTTGGTTCATCGAATCAATGTTGGTGTTATTACTTTTTTGAAGCTAGTTGCATCGTGCGGTTTTGGTATTTCATGCAAGATTTGAATGATTGTTGTTGAAAATGTGTACATCTTCGATAGATTTTCTAGAATGGAGGTTTTGGAGATTTTTACTGCAATAGATTCTCTAAAACCTTCTCTAAGGGGACGTTTGGTTCGTAGATTCTGAAGAAATATGATGGAATTAGAATGTTGAATTTCATTGACCAAATTTCATTTTCTCGTTTGGTTCATTCTTTTTCACGAAAGAAATTTTCAAATTCTTACAAATCTACAAATAAAGCAATTCAACATTTCTTAGTAACTAATGGTATTTTGATGAAATAAAATTCTCTATTTTTATAATACCAAATATTTTCTTAACCTAATATATCCTAATCTTATAAAACCCAATATGACCATCATCGACTACCTTTGACCACCATCGATTTGAATCACCGTCAACCACCGCCATCTGAATCACCGTTGATCATCGCCATCTGAATCATTGCCGATCATCACCGCCAAACGCCACCGACCTGAACCACAACCGACCACTACCGATCTGAACCACTGCCGGGCACCACTGATATGAACCACCACATATCTGATCCACCGTTGATCTGAATCACCATAGACCACCACCGATCTGAACCACTGTTGATCATCGTCATTTGAAACACCATAGACCACCATCGATCTGAACCACATCCGACCACCGCCACCTGAAGCACCACAAACCATCACTGATCTGAATCACTGCGGACCACCATCGATCTGAACCACCGTTGATTTAGTAACGTTGTTTGGCTTATTATAATATTTGGGTTGTATATTTATATTATTTTACATATTAAACAATTATTTTATTAAAATACTTTTATTTAAAAAAAAATTCAAAAAAGACATTTTGGTCATTTACCAATATTTCATTCAATTTTTAAAGCTACATTATGTGTACCAAACAAACAGATTTCAATTCCTTAACATATTCTATTCCAATGTCTGTCAACCAAACAAGTGGTCAAACTTGACAATATTCTATTTCAGTTCATTCAAAGTCAAATTCCCTTAATAGATTACATTTCATCCAAAAACATTATGCGAACCAAACGCCACCTAAGGCTCTGTTTGTTTTCCTCTTAATAATTCTACTAAGATACAACATTTAAATCGTTAAAAGTTGAATTTTGTTTGAGAATATTTTTTGCCTCTTAATAGTTCTAAAATCTACTAAATGATTTTGTATGTTGGACCTTCTTCCTTAACCATTTAGCACCTTAATTTCATTTTAAACAATTATATTTCATTTTGCACTATATAATAAAAGTCTCTTAATCAATCTGATCATTTAATCATTCAACACCAAACCATCCAACAACTGCTAAACAACCCCTAAAATGAAAAAAGTAGAAAAAAGAATGAAATTCTCTAAAATTGAATAACTATCTAAAAATGATTACCTTTGAAAGAAAAATTATTTTTTATTTTTTCCTTTCAATGAGAATATTTGAAATTGAGTATGTAGGAGGGAGAAATAATATTTTATAAAATTTATTAAATACTTTAATAATATAATTCATATTGTAATGTTTAAAAAGAAAAAAAAAACCATTGAAATAGATATAAATTTTCTCCACGAGCATCTCCAAGAGCTTCTTCAAAATGGTATAAATAAGGATTTTGAGCCAATATTTTATTCCAACAACTTTCTTAAAACCATCTCCAAAATGGAGAAAATGGAAGAATGAAGAGTTTTTTTCTCCAAATTAGGAGAAAACCCAAAAAATGTTTACCAATTGGGACCACTGATACGAAAGTTTGAAAATAAATTTTAGAGAGAGAAATAATATTTTAATAAATGAATAAAATATTTTAATATTATATTCAATGTTAAATTCTTTAAAATAGAAAATCTTTAAAGATACGATTTTAACTTTTAAAATAAAAGAACGATGCTTTTATACCTTAACAAACATATGAGGATGTTGAGATATAAAAAAATAGATGCAGGTATAATCGATGTCAAAACTTTAACACGCATTCTCCATTGGAGACTTGACGGGCAATCGTTGTGCTTCTATTTTATTTAAAGTAAACTATAATTTTGGTACTTGTGGTTTACACAAATCATTGACAGTGGTTCCTAGGCTCTAATAGCTACAATTAACATTCCTATTATTTGCATTTTGCGTTGAACGTCGTCTCTGGTCACTAACTATGTTAAAATAGTCTGTTAAGTTAGAGATATTTTCGTTTTTGGGGTAATTTTGTTTTTTTTACCCTTTCTTACTATTCTTATGTTAAGAAAAATTAAATTATATATACACATACACACGCTGTTACCGAAAATTACAAAGCCCACCTCCAATCCCATTGTTTACCAGCGACCCTCTCCCCTACCTTTCCTTTCCTTCCACACCGGCCTGGTTACCGACGATTGTTTGAAGCCATCAAAGATGGAAAGATTCGTGTAAACCCATGGAAGATGGACAACCGATCTCTCTCTCCATCAGCGACATATTCTTTGGGTTTTTATCTTTGATTTAGGTTGGATTTTGATTAGTTTTAGATTTAGGTTTTAGGTCGGGTTTTGATTTAGGCCAGACAAGATTATCAAAGAAGACCATTGGAGTAGTTCCTTGTGTGTCTCTGTCCATCTTCGAATTTTTCTTTTTTTTGGGGGAACGGTCATGAACCAACGCAAATATAATTATTGAAGTCTAGGGACCACTTTCGATGATTCGTATAACCATAGAGACCAAAATTGTAGTTTAGTCTTTTATAGTTTTATTTATTATAAGATTGAGATAACACTTATATTTTATTGGGTCTTTTCGCCTTCAATATTTAACATTACAATTTCATCATATTCCAACAAATCAAATCGTAATCTTAATTAGACGAAATTTCAACATATTATGAAATTGATAAAATAGTTAATTTTCTCAACCAAAGTCATTTTTTAAATCAAAATTTTATTTTAATTAGAGTTTATATAAATACTTTATACAATTAACATAAACTCGAATCTTACAAGCTTTTGTGAATTGGAACAAGTATGGAATGAAGATGCCACATTCCATCCCTCATTTGGACTGCACCCCCATGGCAGATACCATTCGCCCGTCCACGTCACCCTACGCCTGTGCATGTCAGAAATCCGTTTTCTTAAAAACTGTGATCCACTTATTTTTCCCATTTTATTACTAATTTTTTTTTAGTAAAATAACTTATATTTTCCTTAAAAAAACACTTATCAACTTATTATAAATTAGAACAGTTTAACTTTTTTTTTAAAAATTTATTACTAGTTTGACATCGGTATAAATTGTTTATCTAAACACTCAGAAGTGCTAATTACCGATGTCACACTCGAATAAATCAATAAATTGTTTTTATAAGCAATCCCAAACACCCGCTTAATCTTTTTTATTTTGACTGTTTATTATTATTTTATCAAAAAAAATCAGAGCTAAAATTTTCGAAATCAGAGGAGAATGCTGATAAAAGTTGTACCCTGCGACTAGAAATTTGTACAACTTTCTGAATTTGAGAATATCGAAACTCTGTAAGAAGGGTCTGGCTTTTTTTTATCATAAATTTCCCTCCATTTATTCTCTACTTCTCCTGCTCTCAAACATAATCCTTTACTTGTCTTCTCTCTTATTCATTTCTTCTCTCTCTCTCTCTCTCTAGATTTCTCCTCCATTTACAGAAGGAAGACGAAGAAATTTAGCCTTGTGTTCGATCAGGTGAGCGTTTAAGGAATTTGAAGATCATAAACCTGTTGAATTCTAGCTCAAAGTAATCTGTATGAAATTGGAAGTATATTTTGCATATTTATGAACAGTGATTTTAGAGTTTTGCAAGTTACATGAATAATTATGAAAAGGAACTCGGTTATGTTGAAGAGTTCGTTTGGTTTTAATCGGTTTATGGAAGTAAACTGAATTACCTGAGCTTTTTTTCCAGGGAGAAATTAATTGATCAAATCATAAATGGCGGCAGCAGCACCTGTAGTGGATGAACAGTATTTGAAGGAGATAGAAAAGGCTCGTCGAGATCTTCGTGCTCTCATCTCTAGCAAAAATTGTGCTCCTATCATGCTTCGTTTAGCGTATGTGACTGCTTATCTCTGCTGCTTTCTATGAATTTATAAATAATGTGCAGATCGATGATACTGTTTAGTATTTGATTTACATTATTATATAACCGAAAATGTTACGGTGTGTAAGCATTTTTTGTGACCTATTGGCTAGTTGAATCGTTATTCTATCATAGCAGGATCACTGACGTGATAAGTTATGTGCAATTTTCTGAAAGCTGCTTAACAGAAACAAAACTTGCTTAGCTTCTTGAGATCAAGATTCTTTTTAATTTCGTTATGGAAGTTTAGTTCGTTCATCTATTGCTTAATCCTTTAAACGATAAAATATTGATATACATGTTTTACAAATCATTGTATTGGGATTTGCATATAATTACACGCGGTTCTCTCTCTCTCACACACAAAAGGAATTAGCTATGTTGTAATTTTGAATTTGATTGGGTAATTTTACATGCACAATAGGATTGTCGAATGTACAACGGCCATATGTAATCAATATCTTCTCCCGTAAGTTTTTGATCTGTGCTTGCATCTCTTTTGCTTGTGCTAAAACAAACCGTATGCGAGCTTGCTGGTGTAAGATAAGCAGAAAAGCAAATATAGAAGGAAAAATAACAGCAGTTAGGCCTTTCTTATTATATAGAAACCACAAACAAATTGAAGGACACATAAAAAAAAAAAGAGGTTAATGGCGGGGACCTCATGGCCCCATGGTCCACATTTTGTGAACCCTACTTGCCATACCTCATAAGCAAGCACCGGAAAAGACAACCTGTCCTCCCCTGGAATCGAACCCGGCTGGGCTCGCCCAAGGCAAGACATTTACGGAAGGAGGTGGCCACTAGGCCAAGGCCTAATGGTTGAAGGACATAGATTTTGAGATGGCGGACAGACATAGTACTCATGAAATATTAGTTACCAGAGGTGACTAAAGCTGATGGATTTTGAAGAAGGTTAATAGAAGTCTTCTGTTTCTGAGAATTACCACGTTATGTTTTTTTGACAACAAAATCTGTATACCTTGGGTAAATTGACATTTTCACCAGAGATGATTTTATGATTTGAGTACAAAACGTAGAATTGAGTTTAACTGCTAATGATTTGAAATTGTGTGTTCTAATGCTCTTGATACTCATATTGATAAACTGACACTTTTTATTGACCCAGATGGCACGATGCAGGCACTTATGATGCTAAAACAAAGACTGGAGGCCCAAATGGATCAATCCGGAATGAGGAAGAGTACAAGCATGGAGCAAACAGTGGTTTGAAAATTGCAATTGATCTCTGTGGTTAGTTGTTATGCCTTAATGTTGTAAATATGAATGTTTTCTTGTGCCTCTTGAGATCTAGGTATTTTGACCACCATGTGAGAGGCAATTTATCTACTGGTATGTAGAAGAACTTGATTTTGTTTATTTCATTTGCGTATTAGAAACCATTCTTATTCAGGCACTCGTACTTATAGCAGTTGGGATGAATGTGAGGGAAAATTTTATGTTCTTTTTCATTTGCTTATTAGAAACCAATCTTATTCGGGCATGCATAACAGCTGGGATGAATTGTGGGACCGATAGTTGGAGAAGCAATTTGTTTGGAGTAGATACTGTGGCACCATCATGATAGTTCAAGCATTCTCCTAGTTTTTTTTTTTTAATACACCTCTGTTCAATACATTTTGTTTATATACAAATTTGAAAATACTTTGTTGCAATGTATTTTTAAAGTGTTACTAATAAAGCTTGTGTTCATTTAATAACAGAAGAAGTGAAGGCCAAACATCCAAGAGTTACGTATGCTGATCTCTATCAGGTGATTGTTCAAATACCTGCTACAGAAAGTCTTTCAAAAATGTTGGACCTTTGCAAGTCACTGTGTCTGTTTATGCACCTTTGGCATAGATTTCTTGATTACCTTCTTGAACTTGTGATACTTGAATAAAACCGTAATAAAATGGAAACATAAATTGTGGGGTCTTATTACCTTTAGTCTAATGAATAGTATCTTGGTTAAGCGCCCACCCACACATTAGACATTCTTCTCCATATCTGTTAGAAGTGCATCCCGTAAACTACTTTCATCATTTTTATCCGTCATACTTATGCTAAAACTTTCAAAACTCATTTTAAGACCCAAAGACTATATCAAATGGCCTTTTAGTCATAATTTTTTTGAATGACAAATACCAACAACAGAGATTATCACGTTACAATTATATAACCTGCTTAAGAATAATATGTTCATTGTTATCATGAGTTTCAGTACCTATGCTTATCCTTAAACACTCTGGTCATTTTAATATAACAAGGTCCTTGTTTCGCTAAAGTTCACTTCTTTCAAAATTATAATCAAATGTTCAGCTTGCTGGAGTTGTTGCAGTTGAGGTGACGGGAGGCCCCACCATTGATTTTGCACCCGGAAGGAAGGTATATAATAACATGAGTAAACAGTTTCTTACCACTTCTCTACTTGTACCGATTCTTCCATTTCTTTTTCTCAATCAGGATTCAAATGTGTCACCTGATGAAGGACGTCTTCCTGATGCCAAGCAAGGTCAGTCCTCACTGAAGTTGATTTACTTCTATCTATTCACTGTTTGTCCCTTCTAGTTGCCAGATTGCCTTGTTAGTAATTACATTTAGGTTATAGTTTCTTAAACAATATAATTTCTAGTTATGTGAATGCGAGTACTTCTCTAAGATGTCACTCTCGTATTATATAGACATCATCAGACCCCATAACTGGAAACTCTTTTAAGAGAAAAAAAAAACATTATTTATCTCAAACTAGCTTTGATCCTTTTTTGCAGGTCCATCACATCTCCGTGATGTCTTCTATCGGATGGGCTTATCTGACAAGGATATAGTGGCACTTTCTGGTGGTCACACTTTGGTGAGTTTTCTTTTCCATAGTTTCTCAATATGATGGAAGTATTTTTTGTGCATATAACACTCTTGTTTGATGTTGACTCAGGGGAAAGCACATCCTGAGAGATCAGGATTTGATGCAAAACCTTGGACCAGAGATCCTTTGAAGTTTGACAACTCATATTTTGTGTAAGAGCTTTCTTTAACAAGTTGGAATTGGCAATCAAACACATTTTATCTTCAATAAATTGGCAAATTGTGTGATGATGATGAATCAGGGAGGTCCTGAAGGGAGATTCTGATGAAATGTTGCTGAAACTTCCTACTGATACAGCCTTATTGGATGACCCAAGCTTTCGTTTCTATGTCGAACTTTATGCAGAGGTTAAAAATCTTATCAACTTGGATTTTTGGACCATTTGTTGTTCTTCTTGTGTAAACAATTCAAGCTTCTTTTTTGCAGGATGAAGAGGCATTCTTCAAAGACTATGTTGAATCACACAAGAAGCTTTCAGAGTTGGGTTTCACCCCACCATCTTCTCTCAAATCAAAGAATGCTGCTGCATTATTGGCCCAAAGTGCTGTGGGAGTTGCTGTTGCTGCTTCTGTGGTCATCCTTAGTTACTTCTATGAAATCAACAGAAAATAACAACCCAGACATTTGATGTATGAAAACATGCCCAAAATAAAACAAACACAAACCCTCGTGATGATTTGCATTCATAAATAAATCAATACATTGCAATTGCTTTGCTTATTGTCTTACGTTGTGGAGGCAATTATGAATAAGTTAAACCATTTCTACTCCAAAACCGACTGTCATTTAGACCGAGTCCGAGGGAGAACAAGTCTATCTCCATCCTATTTGATTAATGAAAGAACTAAGTCAGTAGCAGTAAGCTGTTCAGTTCCTTAAGCTCTTGGACTAAGAGATGGGGTGATGTCTTGAAACACCTTCAGCCTCTTTTCAATCTTTCGCTCTACAACTTTTCCTGTCTCCATTTTCTCAACCAACTTCACCTTCTCAGCTTCACTGCTCGAACCCAAAACCGCAGCAATGATAGCTTCTTCAAAGTCCTTACTGTCCGGCAAAAACTCGTTCCAATCGCAATTTTTCTCAGGCGAACCTGACTTCCTTCGCGACTTATTTACAACTTCCAACTCTCCTGTTTCTTTTTCTCTAGCCATAGTTGCTGCATTTCCAGATCTTGTTCTTTTAAGTCCCTCCCCCACATTTTCGCCACCAACCGAACCTTTGACCAAATTGGATACATAAAAAGGCTTAGCGTCGATATTGAGTGAGTTCGAATTCCCGACAGGACCCATCACCGTCACTGGTTTCTTAACCATCAACAGCTTCGGATTCGTTAAGATATTCGAATTCGCATTCTCATCAGCATAACCATCTTGCGTTTTGGTTGCGTTCGAAACCGGTAAAGACACGTTATGCTCTTTACAAGGCTGCGGCTGCCAAAGAGCAGAAGAACCCAAGAAAGCATCGAACAGTTTCCGCTGCTCAACCCGATCTCCACCACTGTTCATCGTCTCTGATTCCAGATCCCTTAACATTTGCTGTGCTCTCTCGTACGCCTTTAGATGCGAGTCCACCCCTCGTGGTCCGTCCACCACTGCAGGCTTCACTAACCTAAGGGTGTCCTTGGCCTCACCAAGTCTCCCTTGTTTCATCAAACATATCCCCAAATTACACATCTTATTGTTATCTGGTGCTATCACCAGAGCCCTCCTATATGCATCTTCAGCTTCAATATAGTTGTTGTGTTGCATCAGTGCCCAACCCAAATTCCCCTACACAAAGAAACACACTTATTTTTAGTAACAAATATTGTGGAACCCCTTTGAATCTCTCTCTAAAAAAGAGCCGTTCTCACCAGTAGCCGAGTCGCCTCTTGCTCAACGGAGACTTGAAATTTCTTCCCTTGGGATCTCGCGGTTTTCGTCCGCTTCCCATTAAAAGCCATCCCTTGTTGGATCAAGAACAACTTGTGCCTCAACAGTGCAATTTGGTCATCCAATCTTCCACATCTCTACAAATCACATATCCAATTTAATATCATTAATCAATTCACTCACATAACAACATTTTTACCAACATTTTGGAATTTCCCAAACTAACCTTGTAGAGATCCAATAGGATGTTATCCAGCGACTCTTGTGCTTGATCCGAGCATCTTCTTCGCAAAGACTTTATCGCTTCAATGGCTTCTTCAGCCCGATTCTGTTGCTTCATAACAATCGCCATATCTTTCAAAGCACTATCAACTCTATCTCCTGCATTAATAGCCGCCCAGAATAATGGTATCGCCCTCTCTGGATCCTTCTCAACCAACTACATAACCAATCAAACATTCAATATCGATTCACCAAAAACCATCAAACCCCAAAATAAGAATTAAAACAACTAAATTTCATAACAAATTTGTGTTCTTATAATCTTACTTGAACATTTTTGGCTCTGACATAAGGAGAGTCACCAACTGGGACCTTGTGAGTGACATGGAAAGACTCGGCCCGAGTTGAGTTTGACTCTGACCGACTTGAATTCAAATTAAACGATTCTGACCGAGTTCTCAAAACCCCACCACCGATGGGTTTGGCCGGTGACGACGGAGCTGATTTAGTGGGTCTAAACCCTGGCGGAGCATTCCACATATCTTGCATCATCTTAATTTCTTAAAGGATTTCTCCAGAAAATCTCAAGATTTGTGGATTTGCTCGAAAACGGTGGTGTAGACAGAGAGAGAGAGATGGAAGAAGAGACGGTGGAATTTAGCGAGTTTTTGATTGCTGAGAATTTATTTTGAATTATTTGACCGTTGCGAGGTTACCGTTAAGTGAACTAGCCGTTGTGTCTTGATGTGGAGGATGGTAACATGCCATATTCAGCCCCTGATTTTTTTGTCTAACTTCACGCCTATCCTTTTTGTATTCTTTTTTACGATTTCTTGTATTCTTTTTGTATTATGCACCAGAAAGCATCCTTTGTATCGATTGATGCTTCCCTACACGACAAAATGTGCCGTTTGGACGGTTATTTTTGGTTTAGCCTTACGTCAATTCAAAGGACGAACTTAATAGACCGATTAAAATCGTTTTATGAATCCAACAACCAAGCGTGACGACTCTTGATGGGCCATTGGCCCAATGATACCCCCGTTGCCGATAAAGTATAAACTTTATAAAGTTAGATCTCACCAAATATAACGATGATCACATACTACAATAACAATCTTCTATATTTGTCTTCCTAATTGTTTGTCTAATTATTGTGATTTTGAATTCTATTACTTGCTTTATTTACGTTTTATTAAAGCTTGCTCCTACTTGTTGCTCCATTTTGATGCGTTTTCCGTAAGTACTGCAATTGTCGTGTTTTGAAACTTATCGTCAAAAAAAAAAGTTTTGTTGAAAAATTATCATTAAAAAAAGTAAATATTTTATATTTTAAAAGATTGGTAATAAAGAAAGAAATCGTGTTTTTAATGTTTATGGTCATAAAATTGATGATTACAATTTTTAAAAACATCACTTAGGGAAAATGGTAATCAAATTTCTTTTTAAAAACGTGTCCGAAAAGGTATTAATGTGCAACTCGTAAAATTAAAAAAAAAAATAGACGTTGAAATGTTTCTCTTATACACACGGGTTTTAAATAGGTATGACAATGAACACAGTTGAAACAGATATTTGAAATATAAAAATTTATAGTTTAAATAAAATAATTTAAATCTTTAAAAAAAAATTAACAATCTGTCAGTATTTAATAACAGTGCCAGTTAAGAACGAACTTGATTAAATAAAATAGTGCTTCAAATGATTTGCTAGTATACTAGAAATACAAAATCGGTCCGTAAATGATCCATTCAAATGATTCACGGTACATCAAATCTGATAGGGTCTTTGTTTTGCATCAAATTAAACGATGTCTTTTTGTTATTTGTGTTGATGAATAAAAAAGAAGCGTTGTTCGTTTGTTGGATAGAGAATCTATCTTGCAAAGACATCGTTTAATTTGATGCAAAACAAAGACCCTATCAGAGTTTGATGTACCGTGAATCATTTGAAGGCAGTAATCTCCAAGTTTTTAAAAATATCTAAAACTTAATACTGAATAGAGAGTTATTAACAGGGACGGACCCATAACTTTTTTTCAAACTGTAGCACCATTTGACCATAAGAAAAAAATATTGGAAAAATTTTCAAACAGTAGCACTGTTTGACTATAAGAAACAAATATACATAATTTTGTTTTTTCAAACGGTGACATTATTTAACTAAGAAAATGACACTAACAAGATTTGAACTTGGGTGTGGGGTGGAATAAAAGTCTTGCAAACCAACTTTACCAAATAAAACTTGTTCTCATTGTGGTTTCAAAATATATACGGTGGCACACAACAAATTAATACGGTTGCACCGTTCACGAAACCTAATTTTTTTTTACCCTTCGGCGAAGAAATAATACGGTGGCACGTGCCACCTATACCATAAGCCTAGGTCCGTCCATGGAGTTATATGATTTTAATTATTTCCTCCAATGAATTTAAATGTTCTATAATATTTTATAAAGTTTTTAAAAATATATATTGAGACGATGAATTTATAAAATATTTTAATAATATAATTAATGATAAAAACTGATAAAATAAAAAAACTTAGATATAATTATTTAAAAATTTAATCTTTATAGCATGGTGAATAGTGATGGCCAAACCGACCCGGCCCGGGACCGTCAGAGGACCGAAACCGGTTATGTCAGGACCGATTACAAGAAAGAGCAGACCCGATTGGAAATCGGGCCTGCTCGGCCCGAGACCGGTTTTCAGCCATCACTAATGATAAAGATGATCTAGAAAATATATCTTGCTACATTGCATGAGTACTTTTATAATAATTATTTATAACATGGTGAAGATGGTCTTAAAAAGCCTTTTGATCTCTCTGATTGCTGAGGAATCAAATGTTTTGTGCAAACATAGCGTCAAATATATAATATGCAAGCAATTATAACGTGGCCTATTAGCTCAGTTGGTTAGAGCGTCGTGCTAATAACGCGAAGGTCGCAGGTTCGAGACCTGCATGGGCCATCTGTTTTTTGTTTATTTTGGGCGAATGACATATATAGACCTTGAAGTTTCGAAGCATTTGATATCTGAACCCTGTACTTTAACTTTATTACAGTTTGTACCGTTGAAGTCTATTTGTTCTACACTTTAAGCTCTCATGAAAATAAATAACCTTTTTCTCTTAATCTATACTATCTTATAAAGCATTTGGCTAAAACTCTTAAACTCGTTTATCCCTAAACGATTTCATCTCTATCTGATTTCATTCCATATCTGAATTCGTGTAACTAACTGCAGATAAACACAATCAAATACAGGATAAACATCTCATTTTAAATATAAAAAATCTAAAATATAATTAGTAT